GGAGAGGGTTCTTCACTGTGAGGGTGGTGGAGCACTGGAACAGGTTGCCCAGGGAGGTGGTTGAGGCCCCTTCCCTGGAGATATTCAAGGAGAGGCTCGATGAGGCCCTGAGCAACCTGGTCTAGTTGGGGGTGTCCCTGCTGACTGCGGGGAGGTCAGACTAGATGACCTTTGGAGGTCCCTGGGCAATTCTATGATTCTATGATGCTATGATTATTGCGGGTCTTAAGGGTAAACAGAAGGTATGAGCCTGCTGAAGCAGCATTCTCCACTCAAGCGACCGGCCTAGGAAGAAGCAGGAGTGTAGGACAAAGCTGAGGAGCTAAATGCAAAGTAGGCCCCTAAAAACTCTTAACTTTGGCCCCCCCCACCCCTTGTTCACCCACGTCAGGTGTTCAAATAACCTGATGTTGGGGGAGACAACACCCAAACAGAACTGCATGCAGGAGGAGCTACAAAATCCATTATCTTCACCAGACAGAGGTCTCGGGTGACAGATCGCACATCCAAGCCCAACACAGGCTACTCCAGTTTGAGGGCTCCCACCCACTAATAAGTTAACACACACACACACACGCCCTTCAGCATAAAGAGGAGTAGTCTCAGCTTCTTTCTAAGTTTTGGCCAGGAAGAAGTGCTGTTGCTTTGCCAGTCTTTTGTAGAAAAGCACTTACCGTGAAGCGAGTGACGTAGAAGCAATTCTCGTTGAGCCCGAGGAAGCTCAAACCCCTGTTCCCTACTTCCCAGCCACGCTACGGATCACACAGGGGTGACACAAAGCAGAGGAGAATGAAAAAATCAACAGAAAGATTCAGTATTCAAGGTTAAGCTGCTCCAAAAACACGTAGCTCAAAGCTGATGGGATAACACAGATGCCTGTGGTACAGGCTCAGATGAGAAGGAATCACACAAGTTGTCTGGGAAAAGGAAAATATGGTGTTTTTATAGGGCTTCTCCTGAAAGCTGTTCAGATACAGAGATAGTGACAGGTTTCCTTCTGGAAATGTTTTACCTTCCTTGATTTAACAGTTGTTTTCTAATTTATTAACTGCAAGAGGGCCAAGATCCTTCTGGGTACCACAGCACAACAAATTTCTTCCAACGGTTAAGGAACCAACACAAAGGGATGCTATTTATTCCTCATTTCTGTGCATAGGTAATGAGAACACATGAAAGGTTGCAGAAATTAACCTTGGACGGCGCTATCGTTACGAGACTGGGAGTTCAAAAGAAAGAATAAGCAAAAGCAGATCTGAAGGCAAGTCACCAGGTTGTTCTTTGGAAACTGGAGACCGAAAGGAACTGGTTCCTGAAGTCAGCTGCGCTGCAGCGCAGAGGATTTCACCGCAGACAGCACAACCCAGCAGGCATTTTCCACAAGTCAAAAAGGTGTTTCCATCCTTAAGAATTTAAGAAGAGAAAGAAAGTCCAACTGAATGCCTTCCATCTGCGGGGGAAGGAATACAAGAAGCAGGCACAGGTTGCGAGTCCCTTGGAAAGTTGGATTTTAGAGATGAAAAAGTCTAGGAGTAAACGTGAGAACCAGTGCAGCATTAAGGCCCTACAAAGATATTTAAAAAATAGGAATAGTAAAAAGTTCTTCAGTTTGTGAGAAAGGACAGGGAGAGAAACAGGGCTGTGAGCAAGGTCAGGGCAGAGATTAAGAGCACTCAAGGTACAGCACAAAATATTACTATTAGAATCCAAAATTAACAGGCTCATAAAACGCAGGCCAAGAAGCAACATTTATAAACTTCTTGAAAGGCAACAATAGGAGTTAATAAAACATGTGGCACATTGGAGGTGGCACTGCAGGGGAGAAAGAGAAGGGAGAGAGAGCACAGCCTCTCCAGCCCTGGTAGCCTGACTTCAGTAGAAAGGTTCTTGGCAAGCAAAGAGGATTATGGTGACACAAAAAAAAGTGGCACATTGGAGGTGGCACTGCAGGGGAGAAAGAGAAGGGAGAGAGAGCACAGCCTCTCCAGCCCTGGTAGCCTGACTTCAGTAGGAAGGTTCTTGGCAAGCGAAGAGGATTACGGTGACACAAAAAAAAGGGGGAAGAAGGAATAGTTCAATACACCACACCAACCTGAAGGTTCTCAAAAAAGTAATCTTTTTAAACAAATGTAGTCAATTTTACTCACATGGATTTCAGAAGATTTACTGGTTAAGACAGACTGGCAGAGGAATGGGAAAACAGACAAAGGAGTTGGCTCTGCAGCAGACAGCCCCAGGTGACACTGAATTATACCACCAGCCTGGAAACCAAAGACCTGCCTCAGGAATCAACCTTGGGAACACTGATTTTGGCAGGAGTGACCTCAGCACAAATACTGCAGGTGCCACCAAAGAAACAAAGGCACTTCCAAAAGAGCAGAGGCACACAGCACTGAGGAACAGAAACGGAGGAGAGTTTTCAGGTACAGATGGTGACGCACCAGCAAAGTGAACCCCAAGAAGTTTTGGAAGTAACTATGAAAAGTTACCTATGGTTGGCCACCATAGACACATCTGTGAAAGAGAGTGACCTCAGCACAAATACTGCAGGTGCCACCAAAGAAACAAAGGCACTTCCAAAACAGCAGAGGCACACAGCACTGAGGAACAGAAACGGAGGAGAGTTTTCAGGTACAGATGGTGACGCACCAGCAAAGAAATTTTTCCTAATATCCAGCCTGAAAAAAACACTCTGGTTTTGGCAGGAGCGACCTCAGCACAAATACTGCAGGTGCCACCAAAGAAACAAAGGCACTTCCAAAACAGCAGAGGCACACAGCACTGAGGAACAGAAACGGAGCAGAGTTTTGAGGTACAGATGGTGACGCACCAGCAAAGTGAACCCCAAGAAGTTTTGGAAGTAACTAAGAAAGGTTACCTCCAAAGGTTACCTATGGTTGGCCACCATAGACACATCTGTGAAAGAGAAGCAAGTGGAGGTGATTCTACAATAGATTCAAGGCAGCAGTGAAAAGCCTCCTGCCAGATCTGCTCTGGAGTGCCATGACTCAGAGGAGACTCACCCAGACGGGGAATGACAACAGCAGCCGTTATTCAAGAAGCTACCAGATAACACTTGGGTCATTCAGCCCAGCAAAACCACAGGTGAGGGTACACAACCATATTTTATAGAATACAGCAAAAGAGGTAAAATGCTGAAAGTAAGAAGTGGCCCTTATGCAAAAAAAAAGAAGAAAAAAAAAGAACATAAACTCAAGCAAGTGTCAAAGCGAAGCAAGTGGAGGTGATTCTACAATAGATTTAAGGCAGCAGTGAAAGGACTCCTGCCAGATCTGCTCTGGACTGCCATGACTCAGAGGAGACTCACCCAGACGGGGAATGACAACAGCAGCCGTTATTCAAGAAGCTACCAGATAACACTTGGGTCATTCAGCCCAGCAAAACCACAGGTGAGGGTACACAACCATATTTTATAGAATACAGCAAAAGAGGTAAAATGCTGAAAGTAAGAAGTGGCCCTTATGCAAAAAAAAAGAAGAAAAAAAAAGAACATAAACTCAAGCAAGTGTCAAAGCTGGCATGAATGTTCATAGAATCATAGAATAGGTTGGGGTGGAAGGAACCTTAAAGATCTTCTTGTTCCACCCCACTGCCATAGGCAGGGACATCTCCCACCAGACCAGGTTGCTCAAAGCCCCATCCTGGTCTTGAACTCCTCCAGGGATGGGGCAGCCACAGCCTGGGAATCAAAAGAAGATTCCTAATTGCAGACAGATCTGTCACCTTCAGTAATGGATTAATCTACAGGAGGAGAGAAGAAAAGATGCAATTGCTTTTATGCTGGACTTCTAAACTTACAAAAGGGATTAAGAGATACTGCTTGGGAAAGCAAGGAGCTGGATGACCCAGGAAGTCTTTTCCAGTTCTAAATTACTATGAGACTAATGAAGTAAGTATATGCTGTCTACACAACCACAAAGAACAAAGGTTAAAAGCTTTAAACCCATACGGCTTTTGGAAACCAGAAAACTGGCTCTCTTCCTCCAGACCGGGGAAGTTTAAGAGTCTTGGTTTCAGAAAAAAAAAAAAAGAAAAGATACATATATTTTCAAGTAGCTTGAACTCGACCAAACTGGCATGTTCTCACATTTGCATAAGGACAAGTTGTTCCGTACGGTGTTCCTATAATGAGACACAGTGAGAGGCGTTCACTTCATTGTCACATAAGCCCAAGTGTTGGAAATCAATCGTGCGTTTCTTCTTAATAAGAGGCACAGGAGAGCGAGCGACACAAATTCTGAGCTTAAACTAATCTAATTACTTACTCCATAGGAAGACAAACCACAACGATTGCCAGTATTTCTACTTGCTGTGTGCTTTAAAGCCTACTATGACAAGCCACCTGTGGGAAACCTGGGCTGGTCCAAGGGATCTCAACGTGAGCTTAACGTTGACCTTGAGCAGATACCCGTGTATCCTTGAAGAGGCCAGAAAGTCCCAAGAAGAGTGGAGCAAACAAGATTAAGGAGCTGACAGACTGCCAGCAGAGGAAGCTTATCGGAGTTACAACAAAGAGAAAAAGTCATCCAATCGTGAACTCTTGGCCTTTGAGTGAACCAATTATATATGGACACACATTTTTAAGAAAGACATAAAAAGAGCTCGTTATAACAATAAAGTTGGGTTCTTCTGGGCTTTTGCTTGAAAGTCTGGGCGTGTCGTGTCTGTCTCAACCACCCTCCAATTAAGTTTTACTTCAAAGCCACGTTCCCAAATTAATTTACAGGTGTTGCTAAGAAAAACCCAGATTTCTCCAAGTACAACAGCAACTGTAGCGAATCTATAGTTGTCATTATCAAATCAAAATGTCAAATAACATTTCTACCCTTAAGCCATTACAACATTTCACTTAAATGCTACCCAAAAGGAAGAATTCGGACCAAACATCTGAGTTACGCGCAAGACAACAGGAAAGTAAGGAGAAACTCTAAATTGGTGCTAAACACTTAGCTCTAGGGCAGACCAGCCCGGTCTGTTCGTACCGTTTGACTTGATGGAAGGTGGAGGATGTGGAATTCAGTGGTTCCCTGTGGAGGCCAGCTCTGCAGGAACTCTTCATGGTAACCACCTCTCCAGCCAAGGCACGCCGTCACAGCCAGTCCATCCTGGGCTACGCGCGAGGCTCCCCCATCCGCTCTCCTCGCCCCACACCGAGCTTCACCGTCTCTCTGCCGCCTAGAAACTGAACCACAAGAGGTACATAAGAAAGATCACGTTCAAACAGAGCATTGATTGAACCCCAGATGATCAGGACAAGGAGTCTTTACCATAGAATCATTGAGGTTGGAAGAGACCCTTGGGATCATCGAGTCCAACCATCTACCCTACTCTACAAAGTCCTCCCCTACACCACGTCCCTTAGCACTGCATCTAAACGTCCCTTAAACACAGCCAGGGATGGTGACTCCCCCCCCTCCCTGGGCAGCCTGTTCCAATGCCCGACCACTCTTTCTGTGAAAAATTCCTTCCTAATGTTCAGTCTAAACCTACCCTGTTGGAGCTTGAAGCCGTTCCCTCTCGTTCTATTGTTAATTACCTGTGAGAAGAGACCAGCACCAACCTCTCTACAGTGTCCTTTCAAGTAGTTGTAGAGAGTGATGAGGTCTCCCCTCAGCCTCCTCTTCCTCATACTAAACAGCCCCAGCTCCTTCAGCCGCTCTTCATATGATTTGTCTTCCAGGCCCTTCACTAGTTTCGTTGCCCTCCTCTGCACCCGCTCCAGCACCTCGATATCTCTCTTGTATTGAGGTGCCCAAATACAAGAGAGATATCGAGGTGCCATGAGAGGGAAAAAAAAATAAATATATATATATACACACACACACACATATAAAAAATATATATAAAAATACAAAAGAACTTAACATCATCATCCCATTTTGCAGCCGGAGTTTCTGAACGCTGCTAAAATACAAATTAACACCCCCCCCAACAGCCTGCCTGCACACACAATGCTCTTTCACCTTCTACACGACTGCAGCACTACCTTGGCACCTCCCGTGGAACACGCCGTCCTCCAAGCTCCCTGCAAACAGGACGCACGAGATCTTTCTGCCCGTTAGCACCGCGTCAATCGGGCCTCGGAGGGAAGTCGCTGCAAGCACTAAGATTTGCTGCTGGCCAGGAGTTACGTGAGCGTTCCTTCTAATCAAAATAACGTGGCGGATTTCAAAAAAGGACAAAAAAAAAAACAAAAAACCACATGCCACCAGGCAGCTGCCAAGCCTTGGGAAAACTGCCCCGTCTTTGCATCACACGCAGATAAGACGGCAGATTTCACCCAAACAAAGCTGTTCTGCAGTATCTCTCAGTCGCACTTGCTGCCTTGTCCTTGGAGGAGACACTATCACCGGGGCTTTAACGTACTTCACCGGTGGAAGAACAACAACCTTGGAGTTGGAACAGAAAAGGGGAAGAGTGACACAGCAAAAGAGCCCTGCAAAAGCTCAAATCCTCAAGGCTGAGCTGCCAGCAGATTGTTTTACAGAACGCTCGCTTCCTCTCTAGAGGACCGTGCACAATGATGCCGTAATACAGGAATGCCATTTGAAGATGCTAACTATAGAGCTGCGTCCCCAGGGAGTTTGTCATTTACTGCAGCAGGTTGTCCTCTCCTTTTCAGCAGCTCTTCCCAGTGCTCCTAATGCTGTACTGTTCTTCCAGCATCATTTCCAGAGCCCAGCCTGGCAGAGGCATTCACTGGAAGTTTGTGCTTGCTGGCCACCAAGCTTTCACAGAGATGGAGCCTCTCACATCACCCCTTTCCCAACACCTTCCAGAGGAGTAAATCCCAGAAAAAGAGCCTCCACCTATGCAGGGCTCAGTCAATCAGTGCTTGGCCAATGTGGTTTATAACTCAACACCGTCGCTAAACACTCCTGGCCTGGAAAACCTGCTCTAACTTGGTAGCCACACTAGCCCAAAAAAGTGATAAATGATGACTTTTCAGTCAGAGAAAATAGAAACTGTTTTAGATCCAGCCAATTTAGTACCTGCTACAGAAATTTCACAATTCTTCTAGCGACGGTGAGTAAGAGGCTAATTGTTTGCCTACCTTGGAGTAAGCAGGAGCCTAAAATAATATATAGAATATTATAAAAACACATTCCAGTCTTCACCAAGAAATCTCTGCTGAGCTCTACACAAGGTGAAGGAACACACTGGAGGGAGGAGCTGGAAGGATCGCACCAGCAGAGCAGGAGGATGAGAGCATCCCTCCACTCCATGAGCTCGGAGAGACAAGGAGTTAGGCTGCTGTGGTTAGCAGCAGCAGAAATCAAAGCTTTTTTTTTAAAACACCATTTTCATTAGACTGCCCAGACTATAGCAAAGATCCACCTGCAAGAGTGAAACCTAGGCACAAAAATCAGCTATTTCTGATGGTTTGTGGGCTGTAAAATACATATTCACCATCAGCAATTTAGAGAAAAGAAGCACATGCCTAGTGCTTTATGAAAATCAAAAGTTAAACACAAAATCATTACTTTCCCATGAACCATCAGTAAGAGGCACTGAAATCCTGACTTTTATCCAAGCTTTTGTCTGGCTTCTCCTTCTGGCTTTACTGACACTAGCATTTCAGACTCAGCAGGAACTGTATCGCAGAAACATGATTATATCCACACCCAAATAAACACAACCATTCCATTTCAAGAATGCCAGTCACTTTTTTTCAATAGCTAAACCTCTCTCCATGTATTCCTGGTTAGGAACACCAGATGTTTTGTCCTAGTCCTGCTCCTCTGCAGCTCAATTGAGAAGTAAACAATAAGAAAACAAAAAACCACACAGACCAAAAAAAAAAAAAAGAAACCAAACTATCATCTTGTTTGTAGTAAAGAGCTCGAGAAGTAAATCCATGAAGTGAACTTATTCAGGTCAGGGACAGCCACAACCCTGATTTGAGGACAAGTATTGTATGGTGGGATGGGTTTAAGAAGGAACTAGCACCTACTAGAGGAAAGCAAAAGCTGAGAAAATAGACACAGAGAAGTTCAGACAGGAGCTGCAGCACAGATCCAAACACAGCTCCATACAAAGCCTGCTTTTTCCCCCCCCTTCCTCTAGCTGCTGGGCTATAGAAAAAGAGCTGAAATAGGCTATTAATGCCAGCAAGCTACTGACAAATTCCTACTGTGTGAGTAGTAAAAAGCTGTGCTTGTGAATTAAAAAAGAAAAAAAAAAAATATATAAATCAGCATCTAAGCTAGCACAGAGATACTTACTGCCCTTTAACTACCACAGGGTGTTTCTTTACCGAGGCTGATCCTTAGCAGTAGGTGCTTCAGCTGATTTGATACCTTTGCACAGAATCCAGTACAGCCCGAAAACTGAAATACGGATGCACAGAGAAACAAAACAGAAGAGAAAAGTTAAAAACCTAATCGTGTCGTCCTCCCTTTCTGAAACCACCCCCAAACATATGCCTTTCTGCAGAAGATGTGGGAAGGACTCAGATTTTGGCAGCAGTAACCATCACGTCCTCTCAGCAACGGACAGCAGTTTGCTGAACGGTCCCACAAAACTCCCCGAATATCAGCAGTTTTAAAGGCAGCTCAGGAAAACAAATGTATTAACTCAACCACAGTGGATGAGACGGGGTCAAGGTCTCTTCATCCGTGCAGCAGTATCTCCAGCTTTTGATATTTTGATAGCTAAAGCTCTGCTGCAAGAGCAAGCGTGTTTTAAACAGTAGCGATGGCAACTGATAAACAAATGGGTTCAAAGGATGGGCTCATCCTCTCAGAAAATTTGCTTTCTAGGAAGGAGGCCATGGGCTCGGGACCGGTTCTGAGCAGCAACCACACTGTCAGCAAAAGCATGTTTGAGCAGCCCATGTCCACACCAGGCTACCTTCAGGATGCTCTGCAGGGCCACAGAGCACCAGCACAGCCAGGGTGCAGGAGAAAGCAACAGCAGAGATTTCAGAAGGAAATTCAAAGAGTTTATACCAAAAAAAAAAAAAGTTAGGTAAAAAAAATATTTTAAAAATGCCAGTGCTGAGGCCTTATAATAGGGATCTCCACGTGGGGTTTTGTTTTCTTGCAAGAACAGAGTTGCACGTCCATTCCCCCGCCGCTCAGCTCAGGTTTAGGTTGTTAAATACTTGTCTCTACAAGCATATTCCACCAGACACACAATTCTGCCACTTCCCAGCCTCGCCAGCCCTCTCCAAACACCCACCCTGGGAAACAAGACTCTTTCCCTAATCCCAACATTCACGTTTCCTGGTAACTACCTGGGATCCACAGCAGCTCCCAGAGCAGGCTGGACAGCGAGATGACAGACCAGGTCCTCAGCCTCTTACACACGTAGAGAAACACAACCCTATTTCCAACACCTTAAAGAACTACCTTTTAACACTAAGTTCACCAGACGGGTTTTACTACTTTATTTAACAGAACAGTCTTAGGCAAAATAAGAGAAAACAAGCACCTTCTAACTCTGAAACAAAGAGTTTCAGAGCGACCTCACATTTGTGTTTGCATCCACCTGAGCAGGCAACAAACCCTGCCATGAAACTAGGTATTTAGTAAAAACACTGTATCCAACTTCCAAGCATTAAGAGATGCAAATATTAATCCTTACAATCCGATGAGGTTCTCTAAGTCCTGCTGAACTGCAGTTTGCCCTCCTCATCTGCAGCAGGAGCCACCACCGACATCGTTTGCCTTGTGAAACCTCGTGTGCTCAGCTTCTCCTCCGTTTGACAGTCAAAATGCATAGCTTTGCATAGACCTGTTATCTAATCTCAAAGCAATAAAGCTGCCACAGGAGCTCCAGCTGGAATAAACAAGGGGAACTTCCTATGTCTACGTACACACCAAAACCTGCGGATATCACTTCTTCCAGGGACTGGAAACCAGAGCTGGACAAGCAGCAGGACCTTGTTATCGCTGCCCTTGGCTCAATTCCCCACCAAATTCACTCCAGCCCTTCTCAAAGCTCCACCAAACTCCTATTCATACTCTGTTACCTTGGGTAACACCAGATGGAGCAGTTATTTAACTGAAATCTGAAGATTCCCACACAAATTTAAGTTTGAGCATCCATGTCTGCAGGGAACACGTGGATGCTCTGAACCACTGCGCAGCCCCGCAGGAATTCTCACCCCTCTCTTCATCCCAGCCCTTCCCCTGTATCAGCGTTGGCTCCTGTCTGATTTCTCACCTGGAGCAGCTC